AATCGAATCTACGGACCATAGGAAGACGTGATTGCGCACACGATGACGCGACATGATTGCGCACACGATAACGCGACATGATTGCGCCCACGATGACTATATAGGAAAGGCTTAGAGGTAGCTCGGAATAGCAAACTAAGGACCTAAATATATTTACTTCCAAACTTGCCTTCTACTGCTCACCTCGTCTTCTCAACAGTGTAGCCAATCAGAAAGCCGAGTGAATTCTCTGCTAGGATAGTACACGAGTTGATTAATTACCGTCTGAGGACTTTTTGGTGCTATTGGTCCCAAAAGGATCAGGGAACTGGCAGTCAAAGCGTTACTTGCTTGCTTAGCGGCGCTCAGCTTTGAGAATGTGCTGGTGAGTCATCTCCAGGAACGCTCCAACCAGAGTCGGTGGTATCTCGAGTGAGACCTATCATAAAGCTGCAAATGTTGAGCGTCCAGATTTTTTTATGCAGGGATAGAAATAATCTCTTCAACTTATTAATCATGCCCATGAATCCAGCCTTATGCTAGACGGAAGTACAGTCCGTCGCGCACGCGGTCTATAAGCTAGGAGGTCGCGCGCGAAATCGGCCACTAACGTGCCATACCGCCGCAGAAGAGGCGTTTTGAAGGCTTTGGTGTGGCATTATCGCAAGGACTCGCACATATTAGTCAGGCTTGTCCGGTACGCTCCAAGGTTTTGTCTGTTTTCAGGGAAGCGATACCTAGTTATATATATCTAGGAGATGCCCACGTTAATCACCGCGACAGCAATGCTATTTTGAAGGTAATGACAATAAATATAGTCAGAAGGCGGCTTGCCTCCCGGCAAACAACAGCTATCCTATCTCTTTAGGGAATGCGGGTAGTTTCTAATTAAATGCATGTTACAATTTCGTGTCAGTAGGGCTGTTTGTGGGGGGGGCGAGCACTCTACAATCACAAAGCAATAGCCGCTGCAAGTTTTGAAGAAAGTAAAGTATATCTGTGCTGCCGAGAAACTGCGTAGAACTCGCAAACTTCACAGCTGTTGAAGTATGTAAATCTGCGCCATGTGTGCTCCGTTGTTTCTCGGCTGCGATGTACAAAAACTTGGTCTGCAAAAAAGATCACTTTAGCTGTTTGTGGCAAAAGGTAAATCAATTTAAGCGGGCGTTAGTTAGGAATACTACTTGCTTTGTTGAACTAATTGTTGGATACCTTGTCTATACTTATGGGATATTTTGGCGTTTGCTCTTGCTGACCATATCTTGCCAAAAGCAATATTTGTGACACAGAATGCAAGCTCCTACTTGGGAGCTTTTACATGTGACGAGACCGACGCGTCTCTATCTTTTAAGGTGGTTGGCGTAAGCCAGCTGCTTTTGCAGGAAATATTCTACGAAATTTGAATGTCAAGCTGTTCGATGTTCAAGCTGCGGTTCAACCCCACTTTACCATTGATAGTATAACTTAGATTCATGAAAAACCGAGGTTTATTAGTAAAACGTCGAAGAGTCCATGGGGTGTTTGCATGGGGCTCCACAAACGACAATCTCATTTTAGTTAGTTTAAATTTACTTTGAACCCCAAAATCGTTCTTATTCCCTTCAAGTTGGGACTTTCCTACACCCCACGTCTGGAAATGTTTTCTCGTTGCACAAGCGTGTATGTTGTGTGTAAGGGACTGTTGTGGAAACGAAATGTCTTGTTAACCGTTCAGACGGAAAAAGAGGATGACAGCGCCGAACGTTGCGTTGCTCTAGACTGGAGCTCGAACTAGGTATAGAGCGGCACATACGCCACGAGCCATGTATCAACTGGAATATGTAAGTCAGATGCCACTTAAGGCTAGTTTTATACCAACTGTCGGGAATAAGATTGCTAAAGTGTAGACACGAAGCTATGATAGCAACGGGGTCATAATTGAGACTTTTTATCTCGTAAACAATCGTGAGGTGTCTCGAGTAGAGCGCGGAAGGCAGAAGGGATAATGAACAGTCAAATACAATGGTTTCAGGACGAGATCGCGAATTTTGTCGTATATCGCGGTCCTCCGTGTATTTTTGTTCGTTACAAGAGGATTCAGAGGTGCACCTTGTTTTTTGGGGGGTTAATCAGCCAAAAATGGAGGTCTCCTCTGCCGAAACCTGAAAGGATTCACATGTAATGCGTGTCACGATCAGATAGGCATTTGTAAGTGCAACTAGAAGGGTCAGAACCCGAAGATTACTCAAGCATGCCAATATAAAACGGTATTTCCGAGTATAAATTATCTCATAGCGTATCCACCGTGCGGTCCCAAATAGGGTGTGAAAAATTGATTATTCACTCAGGAATGTAGTGACCAGTATGGTTCTGGGAAAAGCCCTTGTAAGCTCATAATACATATTTAAAGGGTACGTGCAAAAAATCCATGACGGTGAAGTCACAAAAATGGTACCGCTGATACCGGAGGAGTTTATAGATTCTCCATCATATATGAAATTCGCCATTGTTAATTTTTAGTGCAGGGAGTGGAATAGGTATCCTAAAAAATCGACAAATCGTTCTGACTCTTTGTTAGAGAGTTGATTTAGCCTGGTGACACGAAATCCAACACAATTATTGCAGCGGGGCTGCCGTAGCTCTTCTAGGTCGGTGATCATCGTTCTATACTGAGTACCAGTCGGATCGCAAGTCACCCACTCCAAGAGTAACTACAACCTTAACCCAAGGCTAATAAATGCTTACGTTCAAAATGTAAAACTGTATTTCTCGGTTTTATCCGCGGCAAAGACGCCTATATCTAAATTTATAGGTTTTCCTGATTGAATAGTAAAATCTTATTAAATGTATAACGACTGGCTGTCCTAGCCACGCAATTCAGTTTACGGCTTAGATGAAGATGATGCAACGCGGTAAGTGCGGTAGCGGCATAAGCACTAGCATACTCCAAAATACCTCCGTAGCATGCGAACGAGCTGTGCGTCCAACTTTTGCATCGGCAACATTGGAATGGCACCAAGGGAAAATACTGATTGTTTCTTAAGGGTAGCCACACCATTTTGTGGTCACACCATTTTGAGGAACCCAGACCCTTGAGTGATCATCCATCTTGTTTGACCCACACCCTTCAAACCAGGGCACGTGTATCCTGTACACACTCTCCCATCAAGATTGTGAGCACCTACAGTTCGCATTAACTTTCGCCTCGAACGAGGCTCCCATGTCTAAGACGCCACAACATCACCAGGACCTTCGTCACGAGTTCTCTGCTTAATGAGCCCTGTGTTGAGAACACGGCAGACACCCAGCCTCGATGCTTCAAAGAACACCCGCGGTCAGAGCCCACCATCGTCTCCTGCACGCGGTGCAACTCCGGACAGTACGTCCGAGGCTTCAATGAAACGTAACTCAGGCTCTCGGTAACCGAGTATCGCGCAGCGCATTGTCAACGGCAAGGTCGCACGTCCAAGGACACAGACACCATATCTACTACCGGGCCCGCCACAGGCAATGGATTACCTCGTCGAGGATTTGGAGGAAGTCCACTAC